ATGACAAAATAGTGATTACTGGACTGATTTACAAATGGGAGTGAATCCATTAGGACACGTTATTGACCTTGAATGGAGTAGGTCCGGTGATTGATCCTGTAAAACCCACTAGTGACATAGCAATATTCCAGGCTCATACACATAACATCAAATGGATATTATTAAGAGTGATCAGAATTGCTGACGTATCAATATAATGAACTAGTATCCCCTGTAGTCAATTACACCACTGTCGTGACATTCACTGCTACTTAGATATGTACCCTTACACTACTGACTTGACTTCAGCCTATAACCTGCCTTTATGACCTTGATAATTTTGATGACCATGCATGACAAAGCATGTTTATGTTTTGATGTTTTGAATTCTGTAACATTCGTCAACAAACTATTGGAGAGTTGAGTTGGCTTCGGGCATGTATTGCAATACACTAATGGCTGGGTAGGAGGTGGATAGCCTTGCCGTCGCCCTGTATCAATTCGGTAAGAGTAACAGCTGGGTGGGAGGTACGTAGCCTTGACGTCTCCCTGTGTTAATTCAGTTAGAGGTCCATCTTTATCATGACCTGCCATGCGTCTCAAATATATATAGTCATGAAAGTCAAGTATTTAATTTAATTTTGTAAATATGTTTTTTTTTACGTGACATCCATCTCAGCAATTTGTCAGATTAAAGGTCTCTATACAGCTTGCTTTTAAGGCTAGGACAAGAGATCAGATGCTTTATTCTAGAGATACGAACAGATAAATTCCAATATCGTGTCAACCTTACTGTGATTCAGCATTTGGTATACCTCTGATACTGTTATCATAGCTAGGTGTGTTGTAGTTAGAGTGCTGGGCTCCGGGGGAAAGCTGGACCATGCGGGTAGCCACATTAGTGATAAGAGAATGACTGTTCAGATACCTGTATGACTCATCAGCATATTCACCTGACCAGGTGAACTAAACGTGTTTACATTTTTTTTCTTTTTTTTTTCCTATTTTTTTTGGTAATTTTGCCTACTGGTATTTTAGTCTTTACACGAACATCGAAAACGGTGTTTTAGGAAATGGAGAATGCTATTAAAACTACTTTCATCATTTTTTTTAACTTAAAATGTTAAACTTTCTCACCTTTGAAACACTATTTGATTCTACCAAAATAACAGACGAGGGGTTTGTCTTTCATTGTTTATGCAACAGAGTATTTTAGACCCCTGTTAATGGGAACACCCTATCTGGATGTAAGCGACACCTACTTTCTACCTGGGAAATCAGAGACTCTCGGTGAATGTTTACTTCGGATAAAGGAAAGTGGATACTTCTGTGTAGGTTAAACAGACCACGCATGATACAATTACACGGTAAAATCTGGTCGCGTTGAATATGATATTATGTCAATTGACATACAAAACCACGTTTAGAAAGTTCATTCACAACTTTATTACATGGGTGTGTACTAATTTTTTGTTTCATTCAAAAGTTTGACTGAATGGTTTTGTAATCACAAAATTGCCGAACGTGCAAAAAAAACATAATGAAATCCCTCTTAAGTCAATAAACGATGCACGCAATATTGGATATCATTATATATACGATCATTTCAGTTCGAATGTAAATTGGTGACAACCCTACGTTTTTCTTACCGACTGTGGTGTAAAGTAAATACAATTTATTTCTCTGTGCTGTTTAATCTAAACCTTTGCCTATTCACACAAGTGGAGGTAAACTTCTGATTGGGAAGATAACGTACACGTTCAAAGTCAAGCAGAATTAGCAGACCCAACTCCATTGAGAGTTTACAAGCGTGTATGTAAACATGAATATAATCTGAGTCATACGAACGCTTAGTTGCACGATTCATTAGACAATTGCAGGCTCATTAAATCTGGGAGGGAATAACCTTTTTCTTTCTTTCCTCCTTTTTCCTTCTTGATAAATGTCCTATACAGTATCGATTCTCACACCGTGAACTGAAAGCGCTGTTGTTCGTTAGACCTAATACACAGACCTAAGTATTAAACAGTATCCACAAAAACTGCACTACTTTCCAATGATAACTTTAATTACATACCTTAACATTTGCACGCTAGAATCAGTCAGTAAAGGGTTTTTTCCCCAGTTAAGTGAGTCCTGAACTCTATTTTTATTTATTTATTACTTTTGACAAAGCGAAAGATTATTTATTATTTTTGACAAAGCGAAAGAAGTGCACGCTTTGAAGGTGTTCACGGATACTACATAGTTAGAAGTACCAATATATTTCCATTGATAACAGGACCAGTTGATTACCCTATAATACTGCTAAGATCGTCAACACTACCTGTTTAGGTAAATCATAACCCTTATTAAATCAGAATACGTTGTTTTAAAACCTTAATTTCTATCTAAGTGAAATCGTACTATTTTTACCTACATTGTATTGGACCAAAAGTTTAAGTGACTGGACCTGATTGGGCGACATCACGTTGTTTTACGTTTTGAATCAAACATTTGATCGGAGATAGTTGTTATTTAACCTTTCTCGAATCGTTAAAACGTTTGAATAACTTTCGAATAAAAGTAGAGACCTACTTCTGCCTAGTAATTATTGCTAGTCTGTTAGTACCATAACAATAGATCCGACCTATAATGGACCTCATAATCGTTCCACTTAACTCCGCACACCGAGAGACCTGTCTACGGCAGTATAACGCCAAGTAACACACAGACAGAAGTAGTCTGGTAGTTACACCCCAATTAACTCCATACATGCACTGGGGTCCATGAAACTGTTAAATTGGAGTCGAATACGTTTCCTTATCTAGATTGATAGGTTGATAGTCTCTATTATCCTAAGTATATGTATATAATATCGAACTCGATACACACCGACAGGGAAGGCGAGCAAGTCCTTTTTTTCATTATTTATATAAAATCGATATGTTTAACATGTAACATTACCTATACAAATTAATGGTATGTAATTTATTTCTTTGTCAATCAAAATGTCGTCTTTGAGCACAGCCCTTTACAAATCACTAAACTGATTTAATTTATATTCGAATTTATAATAGACTCGGGTGAAAATCTCTTAAGTGCACGTGAAATCCGAATTCTTGCATATCCGTGATCTGGTGCATTACGACTGCTCTATGGTTTAAAGTAACGGCGCTTGTAGCTTAGCATTCGCCTTTTTTCTGTGTTTGTTATTACCTTCTATTGTGTGTTGAAGTCACATTCTTCAATATCCGGGCTATCCTACATAGTGTGCATAATTCGATGAACTTACGATGTCGTTATTGGAGTAGCAGATACTTTGTAGAACCTGGCAGTTTTGTTTGCTCAATAAGTGTAAATCACTTGCCAATAGACACAAGGCAAGAGGTTAGATATGTCAAAAAGCCGATCGTCTTTCACACTTTTGAACAAGACTGCTATCCCTGTTTACGCTTACTACTAACTTGTCTTTGTGACGATGACTCAACGACACCGGTCGTTATGTAAGCCATCCATCTTTCTCGTATGCTTCACAAATGCATGCCTAAAGCTTCGCTATATATATTTCCGCCTTTTCTCTCGTGTGCTCACCGGCAACGAGAAGTATGAAGTAGCAGACGACAGATATTTATCCAACGTATACATGTTTCAATTAATGCAATAATGGTTTTAAAAGGCTATAAAATGGTAGATCTTCAACTCATCGGTAACCATGACGCTTGTCGAGCTGGTTGCTAAGTTGTGATCTACGGAAGTATATGGTGCACACTTGAGTTTTGTTTTCACAATGGTCTGCCGTCTTAGGATGTCATATGTTGACATGCTGTTTAAATAAATCACAATCCTTAACATTAACGGTGTTCAATGAAATCGAGACTTCATCTGCAAACTTTCAATCCTACAGTAATGAAAGACTTGTCACTCAAGAGATTCAAAAATATATCATATTTTGTACATGTACCTTATTTAACACTGTATTCCCCAACTCTATTCTAACTCCCCCTGTAAATTATCCCTATTCGCGTCACTATCCCTAAGCTGTAGGTGTTTATTTTGGTTACGATGAACGGTAACAGATTTATACAAGTGTGTCGACACTTGTTTCTGTCTCCCTTTCATTTATGTTCAATCATGTTTGTATTATGTATTACATATGTTATGTGAATAAAACAAAGTTTAAACTAAGAAATTCGAGAATATATAGACGTCTTGGCAATATGGCGTAGTATACAAACTGAAAGTCGGTCAAACACAGGTACTTGGTGATTCTTGTTGTCAGGGTATCAGGGTGACATTGTGGAACAACCCTTTTAGAGACCCAGAACTTCTGATTGTTTCTGATTGTAACTATTTATACCTAAACTTATAAATACAGTCACATCACAATTTATAAATACATCCCGTCTGATTGGTTTTTGATACGACACGCATCGTTGACATGCATGATAGTTATTTGGCCACAAACCTCCACCCTCTTCTGATGAACACATACACTTCGTAATGATGACTCTAACGGTGGATCTGGAGGGTAGGTGCCGCTAATCTTTCCCGTGTATACGTATACCATTTATGTAAACTTATTCATGTATTCTAATTTCACATTTAAAACGTTGAATGTGAAAATTGATATGAAATCGTACTTGTGTTGTGTGTATTCGTATATTCGTCAGAGGGAGTATTGTGTTGAAACATTCCTACATTTGTATGTCTGACATGGTTCAGAATGAAGTCACTAGCTTCCAGTGGGTTTTGCTCTGATTTTGGAAGCAGTAGAACAAAGGATGTCTTTGATAGCAAGTATATATCATGTTTTGTACAAGTAAATATCATGTTTTGTACAAGTATATATCATGTTTTGTACAAGTATATATCATGTTTTGTACAAGTTTAAATCATGTTTTGTACAAGTATATATCATTTTTTGTACAAGTATATATCATGTTTTGTACAGAAAACAGCATAATCTTGAAGTATGATTTTCTTGTTTAAATTAATTATTTAACTTCAATCTTAAGTAATTGCTTGTTTTTATCTTGTAGCTTTGGATACTGACAATGTGACTGTAAAGAAGCAAGTGTTCGAACTCCTGTCCGCACTCTGTGTGTACTCGAAAGATGGGTACAAACGAGCGCTGGAGGCGCTGGACAAGTATAAGGTAAGTCTCGAAACTAGGACACTGCAACCCACTTATATAATTTTACATTTACAATCAGGAACCAGATAATGGGACCTCGCCTGTACCTCTTACACTATTTGTTCCTTTATAATACTGTGTCCCATATTCAATGTTTAGTCACATTGGGGGTAAATTGCTACTAGTTCTAAAAAAAACTTACACTTAGAACGACGAACGTGAGCATGACTCTCCTTATATGTATTGACATTTTAGCATATTGTTTCGCATGGAATTGCGTCCATTGCCTCATCTGTGTCAGGTTCCAAATCACCTATTTTAAAACTGTCCTAAAGATTTGCTTCCAAAAGACCTCTAAGTAGCTAAGTAGCCATTAGAATGCGTGACCCACCCCTTGTACTGAACTTGCATCCCATACAAGCCCTCCTGCACTCAATGACCGAAATTACCTGTAATATCTGAAAATTCAGAATTAACAGAGATATATTTTTTTGCTGTTTGGTTATATCAGAATGTCCACGGTATTGTTATTACCGAGAGAGTCCGGCTAATACACAAGCTAAATAACTGGGGTCGTCTTTGTCAAATGAAAGCACAAAGAAAACCCGGATTACACGACAGTGTTCCAAGTCACTTTACCCACACAAAAGGATGGCTAAACCTGATCCTGCGATTCACTGGGCGTATTGGGAGGCCCAACACAGTCTACGGTCGGCCGCTTACAACATTCACCTTAGGCCGCTTACAACGTTGAAAGTATTTGGTGGGATTACGGGTATCTTTTCCTCGCTGAACTTTATCTCTTCTTCTAGGTCAATACAATATTAGCATTTTGAAATTCGAAAGATCAACACAAAACTTTGATTTAAGTACAGAGGTCAGTGAAGGATAAACTACCCATTTGAAACATTCAAAAGGTTAACAAAATTTGACTTTGTCGATAGAAAGTGATTGTTGATGTTTTGTATTTGTGTAGATGTTTAGGATCAATAAATCAATGTATATATAGACTGTCATGTGTGCGTTAACAGGAGGAAGATAACAATTCATATTGATATCAACATTCAAAACAGCAACAAGCGAGCGGGCACATGTTCACTGCTAGGCCCACAGTTAATTTATATGTATTGGAAACAAAATATTGTAACTAATCGTAACAAAGCGACATATCAACATCGGGACCACGTCGTTAACTTAATGACTTATCACCCTTGTATTATTTAAACCCAAATCATGACCTATGTGTTTTATATATTTAGAGTCATGATGTTAGTTTTGGACTGCCTCTATTTCTCCAATACTGGGCGTCAATATTTACATTCACGACACCATACACTTCTGTGTATTTTCCCACCCCTCTGATTAGCTAGCTGATCCCGTCACTGAAGGTCTAACGCTCCGACACGACACCTCCTCTGATAAAGACGTACATATCACACGTACCTACTGAAGGCTAACGGCGGGGTTTAGGAGCCAGATATATACATTAATATTTTAACAAAAACAAAACGTTGTATGTACAATACGTTTTTTCTTCTTCAATGTTGAATCTGAAATAATGTATTTATATCATAAAGAAATTATGTTTAACTCAATTCAAGCAATAAATTATGATTCGTCTAAACACTAACATTCAAGACAAATCGAGAAAACTGACTGATCCAAAAATTATAAGGGTTGTGTTTTTCTTTTCTTTTCTCTTTGAAATGGAATTGATTCGTTGGAGTTGGTTGTTTACTGGCAAACTTTGTTCAGCCAATGTCGTAGAGGTCTATACGGATACACAAATACGCCTGTCCTAGAATACCGCCTCATAGCCTGACCACGGAGAGGTCCTCTGTACGCTCCGCGTGTATATCAATAAAAACCTTTACGTTTATGTTTTCAGTATCTGTTGGTTATAGATACACATTTATCTCGAGGGTCGCTGTGAATCTTTCAAGCTCGATAATTTCGATTTGACGATTGTAGATGATAGGTCACAGTATACGTTTGTGGTCCGAACCGCCAGTGTTAGTTTAGTGTGATCCGCCAGAGGTCGCCACGACCCGTAAAACACAAAGGCACTAGGTAAAGATCATTAAGATAATCCGAAATACAAAACATCTTGTCGACTTCCTTCTAAAATCTGATGCACTTGATTAAACTTTGGCAAGCTCTGTGTCCATCTTTTGAATCATAGGTCAGTGTATTCTAAGATGTCGATGCACATGATGACTTTCTTTCATATAATTTCTCTCAGGTAGGTCTGAGATCCTGATACGAACTCAACAGTGGGTGCAAATTGGGCAATAATTCTCAAAGCTTTTAACGGACATTTTATGGAGGCGTTGCGAAGACGTTCTTGTTATATATGTTGCATTAGTACCGTTTCCGTTAGAGGGGTTTAAAATGTAATCCTTTATATACATTTTTATGATCCATTAATAAAAAAACAAGTGTTGATTAGATCAAACAGAGTCCTTTGAGGCATTACGCCGCTAACATCAACATATTTTGTATACAAATTTACCGTTGACGCATATGACTTAACACTATTTCAATCTCACGAAATATCAATTTCGTTTATTACTCGAATATGAATTAATTTAACACGTTGCTATAAGTGTGCTCCTGCGCGTACGTCACTGTCGCTGTGTGTGTTGTCGCCATCAACACATGGCCCCACGCCCTAGTGAGTAGGACCTGGGCTAAGGGTACACAATGAGTCAGTAACAGTATCAAAATTCTACTCCAAGGTAAACAATATTCTAGGTTTTGTCTATACAAAAAACTAAGTCCGGCAGAGGTAAGTGTTTGCGCACCTATTGAGCTGAACTGTACCTGTGTGATCCTTGGCGAAAAATAGCTGTTGCATTCAATGGTACCTGATCGAGGTGTCACAGTACCCTGACCCTCCCACCTCCTGACCTTCGTTCTAGTTAGCACGGGCACAGGTGTGACGTCAAATTAGATTTTTAGTATTATCATTGAAATCGTTATTGTCACTGAAACAAAATGTTACCTAACAGCTGTTATGAAATTAATTTTGAGTAATATCATTTTAAATAACAGATCAAATTGATGCTTTCCTGTATATATGATTTATTGTTTTAAAGGAAATGTTTTAATATATTCAGAGTCCACCAATAAATCTCGTACCAAACGAATTACTATTCTACCAACAGTGTTCAGTATTAATCTATGGTTCAGCTGAGCCTCATCTTGGTTATGAAGACGCTTTAAACAGACCGTTAGATGCTCACGTAAATACGCAACAACGGTTGCTTACAATTTACGTGGGTGTGACCTCAATGCCGGCCCCTCCCGAGGGTCTGTGACGGTATTTAATTAATGGGACCGTAAGTTAACAGCCCAACCACACCAGTCTGATAGCTCCGCCGTGAGAAATATCATTACAGAAGTAACTACCACTTGATCCGATACAAAAGGGCAAACACCTTCTTACAATGGCCAGCTCACCTACTTGTAATACCCACAATGCAGCCAAAGCGACGATTATACGACCGTTCGGTCTCATGTAATAGTTCCGTTTTATCAGCGACTAGTTCAAAGGAGTCAGATAGCCAGGCGAACCTTTATCCAATACTCGGTCTGTAATGAAACACTTTATTGGCTGAATGCTATCCTCTTACTTTTCTTCATTTCTATCATTATTTTACGCTTACAGATTCTAATGTAATGCAAGATTTCACGATCAAAGGTATTTGGACACAGAAAGCCAATTGGAATAAGTTACATCCAGCGTTTAGTTAACACATGTATCCCCTTAATTTACAATTAAACGCGAAAGGCAATATAACCAGGGGTGGGTTATCTGTTTTCAATTTCATATTTGTGACGATTATCAATGTAGAAATTTATTACAAAGATTTAAGAATTTAGTTTTAACTATTAATTAAAAACCGAAAATTTATTTAAGCATTTTTATAATGACAATGAAGTCCGTTCCACTGCTTTGCATACAGTTGCAACAAGAGGTTGAATTATAAGACGAAGCATTGCGATACAAAATATAACAGCGTACATTTTGTCCAGAGTTTGGGATGATCTGATTGTGAAAAAAACCCGTAAAAATAGGTCAGGTTGGTAGATCAAGAGTTAAATCTCTTGCATTGCCATGCACGACAAAATTCAAAGATAAAGGTCAAGGTCATTAAGGAAAGGTCCTCATTGTTTTGTTCCGAACGGCCTTACTGTACGATCTGGGACGTTTTGTTCCAAACTTCGTATTCATATACAAAGTTGCAAATACACGAGTAGCCACATTGAAAAAATCGTTATCGAATAAAAAAAATAAGGCAATGATAATGTGAATGACTCGAGTAGCCTGCCAGTTTTAGGGACATCACCTCTGTTAGCTAGCTATATGGGACGGCCACACAATGGTGGTGTTCCGGACAAAGGCGAGAAGACGTGGTTCTGGCGTGATAAATCACTTCATTGACACCTTCAGTGGGAATACCCTACAAGATATAATTCATATCTACACACGTGCAGATCTGCTGACTAGATTAGAAACAAAATATACAATAGTTAAATATAACGATATACGGTAAAGATGGAGACATTGTGTGGTAGCGATAACACCATGGTTAGGAAGGCTTGTCCAGTAAAGACTTTGTGTCCCTACGTTTGACATTGGCTTATTTTTATATAGATATGTGTATAATGTCCCTTGTTTTAACCTTAAGCTTTAACAACGCTTTTTCTCGTTGCCTCCACCGCTAATAAAATTATTTTTGTTAGTTTTCCCGTACGGAATAAATAAACTAGCTCCATTAAGTTTTCATGTACAGATCTGATAATCTAGTTCCTGTCCTTTCCCCCGTTCAAAACTAACAATGGTAGCTCCTATGCCACGTGATCAAAGGGGTTGTCCACGTAAACGTTTAGTGTTTGGTGTACAATTATGATTAACAAATTTTGAATTTATTTATCAAATTTATGAATTAAAGATATTAAGCAAGAAGACAATGATCCTGAAATGACATTCAAAAGCATGAAAACAGTTATGACAA